AGGGTACACTGATGCACTTGTGTTTTGTTGGAGAGACTTTCAGATGAAGACATTCAGTGTGTTTTTAATATACAATATACTAAAGCTGAAACAATTAGTTAATCAATCAAAAATAACCAGCAACTATTTTGATAACTGATTTTAGTCTTTTTTAAGCAAGAAAGGAAGAATTTGTCAAATAATCTCTCATTACAGATTTTCAGATTAGATTATTTGCCACCTTAAAACATCTGAGAATGTCCCATCAGCAGTAAGAAGTTGTGATAGATGTTTTTATTTACTATTTTAGTGACATTTTAAAAACTATGCAATTCATAGATTAGACAGATAAAATAATGTGTAGATTAATCACCAATGAAAATGACTGTTATTTTAGCCTAATGGATACTGTACATTTAAAGGTCGTGCACTGGGTTGCACACATGGAAAAACATTATTTATATCACTCTGACAATTAAAAACTTTGTCCCTTGGGAGTTGTGGGGCTCAGTAGATTGAAGGTGCCAGAAAATGTTTGTGTTGTATTGTATTGTAATTGGATTTATATCCTTAAACTTTAATTTAAAAAATGTCAGTGTGATGCATTATGATGATGTGATGCACTGATATTAATACTATTAGTACTGTGGTAAGTTATTTGACACGGTTTCATCTGTGACTGTAGGAACTCTAATGTCATGATTCAACTTCAGTGATGACTTTTCTAGGTCACAAAACAACTAGGTTAAGTGTTTCTAAACATATGTGCTGGATCTTCATAGCTTGTCTACTGTAGATTAGACTACTGGTCATCCTTATGTCACAAAACATGTCACCTAACCTCAGTTCAGATGAAAACACCAGTCAGTAAACATTGTTATGTACACGGTCGATTTACAGGTACTGAACCAATATGAACAAACAAGACTAAACTGTGACTCACTGACTTGTTATCACACATTACATTTTCTCTTTGTGAAATATACTGTCCCTAATATCCACTGCTAAAAATGCTTCAGTTTCTGGAAAAAAAAACATTAATTAAATCATAAACCAGACTAATAACAATACAAAAGTATGAACAAAAAGTCTGAGCCGGGCTTTAATAGAAAGGTAATGTGGTGTACTGAAATTAAAAAAGGCAAACACATACTGTGATATTTTCAGTTTGTATCAGCAGTTTTATCTGCTGTGTGAGGTTTTATTAGCACAGCTCTTATTACAACATATCCTCTGAAAATGTACAGTTAATATAGTCAAAATTGAATTTTTTGTCTTGAATTCTGATCTTGAAGCAACTTACCTTTACTCTTCTCTTTTTAGTCTTCTAATGAACTCATTTATTTCACCCTTAGTTGTCACTCCCACACTTCCTCTTTGCATTTCACATGCCCATGTAGAGCTGTGTGTACCAGTGAAAATACATACTGAATAGAGCTTTATATATCTCACTATTTCTGTATCTAAAGGTGACATGCAAATGTACAACCTGACAATAAATGGAGCCTTGTCTCCTGCATACATGAAGCAACAGTCACTGGAGCCAGAATGTTGCCACTGAAAAGATAAAGAAATGGTGTGATAGTAATTTACTATCTTTGAACTTGGAGAAAACTAAATATATGGTATTTGGGAACCGTAGACCACATAATGAACTTCAATTGAGAATTGGGGGTGCTAATATCGAACGAGTGTATGAAATCAAATTTTTGGGTGTCATGGTTGACGACAGATTATCCTGGAAATCTCATATCAGTTATGTTCAGCATAAAATAGCTAAAAATATATCGATATTGGCAAGGGTTAGATATATGCTGGACGTTAAAGCATTGCGTATTTTGTATTCTTCATTGATTTTGCCATATTTGGAGTATGGCGTGGAAAACTGGGGAAATACATACAGGAGTTCACTTCAACCATTGTACATATTACAGAAGAGAGCGATAAGAGTTGTACACAAGATGGGGTATAGGGATCACACAAATGCAGTTTTCATACAGTCCAAATTGTTAAAATTCTTTGATTTAGTGGAATATAAGACTGCTGTGTTTATGTATAAAGCCAGGAACGACTTATTACCTGGTGGAATCCTGAAGTTATTTGGTGAAAGGGAAGGGGGATATAACTTAAGGGGTCACTTAAATTTAAGGGTTCATGCTATACGTACAACCAAAAAAAGATTTTGTATTTCTATAAGTGGGGTCAAATTATGGAATAATTTAACTGTGGACATGAAAAATAGTACTAGAATTGAGGAGTTTAAACATAAATATAAATGTATGTGTCATTCAAGATATATGCAAGAATAAGATTTATTCGAGAAGGCATTAAGGAAATACTCTGTTTATTAATGTAGAGATACTGCTTGCAGCCAATGATGCATGAAATTATAATATGATGTCATGGGGTAGG